TTTTTTTTTTTTTTTTTACTTTTTAAAAAGCCAATTGCATTTCATCTTCTTGGGAAATTGCTGCTTTTCAAATAAAATTCACTCTGGAGATAAATAGGCCCAGCTAATATGGTAGAAAGCAGCCAAAGGAACCAGCAGCAGTGCTGGCAGAGAAACTCCCCCCTCCTAGAGCACAGTATTGTGCCCTTTCCCCTCCCGGCCTCCTCACCAGAGAGTGCTGCTTTGTCAGCCCCTCTGTACAATCTAGTATAATGGAAAAACCAAAATAATCATTCCTTCTGCAAGCAGTGTATATGCTTTCCCAACGGCATAACAGCTTTTACTTACATTATGAAAGAGCTGCTTCACTCTCTGGACTTAAATTATAGATTATCCTTTTCTTGAAGCAGCTATCTTACAGTTTAACCCTTTCACGACTAATGTTATTTTTCAGTCCTCTCTTACCAGTTGTGGATGAAGGATTTCCAGTCACAGTATGTGCACTGCACGCTCTTCAGGGCAGTAGCAGCAAATTGCACACTGTTATTCATCCATGCACACCTTATACTTTTCCATTGTTATGAAGGCTTTGTATATATCTGTTGATGTGCTTAAAAAAATAAAGCAAGCCCGAGCCACAACTGAAGTGTGAGACAGCTGAAGTTTCACAAACCGATCACAGGTTTGGATTGGGATTCCCCAGGTTTCTTCCTGGATGCTATCCCTGTCTTCAGTCACTCTCACTGTTCTCAAAATAGCACATTTTGAGACTGGTTCTGCCTTATCCTCTGCAGCAAATGTCACAAGCCATTATTGAAAATGCAGGCTTGTTACAAATAAAGTCAATCTAGGAAGAAGCTGTTGTTCTTCACATTTTCTTCCCATGTTACCTCTATGTATATATACATGGACACCAAGTCCTCCATATTACCAGATTTAAAATTTACACTACTCCTTTTAAAAATTGAATTATCCTTGTCCACTATTTTTACTCATTCAACCCCCTCTGAAACCAAACAGTAATTTTATTTGGCTGCACAGTCCCTAGAGAAAGTAGAAGAATTTATCTGCCAATATCCAAACCAGAAAACATTTGACTGAC